TCTTGCTGAGATCACAGTGATCTATTTATAAGCATCTTTCTGGAGCTGCTCCACGTGGTGACTCAGGGATTTAGGCTCTCTAGCACCCTCCTGTGGAATCATCATTGTTAGGGCTTCTTCGGGGTCTTTACATGGATATTCTGCACTCAGTAACAGCAAACAAAATGTAGCTTTAGAGAACAGCACAGGAAATTTTTATTTTATTTCACTTTTTAATTAAAAAAAAATTTGGCCATAGGGAATGTACGCTCACTGGAGAGAGAGAGAGAGAAGTAAAAAATCACCCCCCCCCAAGGGGAAATGGCTATGCCACAATCTTTTCTCCTCATTTCTCCTCCCAGGAGTTTACGTGCACCCACACAGCCAGGCATACAGGCCTGGTGTGGTTTTCAAGACACCGGATCCAGGAATCGAACCATGGTTGGCCATGTGGTATTCCACCACCTTAACCACCACACCACCAGGCCTGGAGGTGCATATGGTCCTCCTGATCCCACAGTTTGTGTTTTGAATGTAGTTAGGGGACATGCAGCACCTTTGTCAATGTGGTGCTTCACGTACTGAGTTTTACACCTTTTGCTGAATTTAGACAGTATACATTTTGATAAGCGATTCAAAGTACATTTCAATATAAAAACATATCTACTGGGAATTTTGCTCTAGAACACGACCATACAAACGTATAGATAATGAAGTTTAAACCCTCAGACCCTCATTTAACCAGTGTAGCCTATTTTACATCCAGGACCTCAGAAGGGAAGCAATGATGTGAGTTTGTGTGGTGTACCAGGCACCCGACAATTTTCTTTGAAGATGCAATGTGTTTACCAGGTAGAATAAACTGAGCGTCATTACGAAAAATCATTCAGAACATGTGAACTTAGTAAGTACAGCTCTTATTAGACCTCCAATTTGAGGGCCTCTATGGGAAGTCCATCACGTTCTTGATAATGGACAGGTGACAATGTTTGCTTCCTGCAAACGCGCCGGTCATTTTCAAGCTGCTAGACTTCCAACGAGGAAAGCTGACGTGTTCTTAATTAGAAAGGCTCTGCTTAACATACTTGATGCTGTTACATATTGGTAAACAACGACCACTTTTTCAAACCCCACAAACAAAGAGTTGGTATCAAGCTGTGTTTGCTTGAGTTCAACTCACCCAACACCGTGTGGGGAAACCAAGGACATTTAGGGCTTTGGGAAGCTCAGGACTAAAGCCCTACAATCGCCCTGCCCAAGGCCATGGATAATGTTATAGAAAAAGCACAGCAAGGAAGACTTTGTGCGGAATCCTAGGGGGCTCTTGCAGACGGGGACAGAGATTGGGCTTAAATCTGTAGCATAGACAGAGAAAGGAGGATTCTTGCTAAACCGGCCTAACGGGATGCTCACTGAAAACAGGCCAGAGTGACCAGATATCACCTGGGAGTGGGGGTGGGGGGGTGAGGACCCTGTTGTCACACTGACGGTGACTGGAATAACAAGGCTTGGGGGGAGTTCTCGCTAAACGGATTACACAGAACTCTGCAAACAGGAAGGGCACAGATGGACCTAGAAGAAGGTTCAGGAGCCTGGATCCAGTTTGGCCAAGTAGAGAGTCTTTGTCAATGAAGCCAGGACAGTTGTGAGGCATGTACAGATGAAGTGAGTATAATTTTTTTTTTTAAGAGGGAGAGATTTTTTTGCTATGGTGTGTGTACTTGCTAGAGAGACAGAAAGAGACAGAGAGACAGAAAGCAAGAAATCACCCCCCAGCGGGGATAGTCATGCTGCAATCATGTCTTCTTCAGTCTCTTCTCAGGATTTTGGGCACACACACACTCATGCCTGACATGAGTTTTAAGCTGATGGGTCCGGGACTTGAACTGCAGTCAACTACATGGAAGTCTGGCAATTTAACCATGACGCCATCTGCTGGCTCCAAGGCAGTTATAATTTAAGACTTCTGAGGTCATTGCATCACACATTACATTCTTTAGGGACTAAAAAGGACATGAGTCTGTCTTGCTTTTCGTATCCTTTGGAAATCGGAGGTCTCCATAACATCAATTCCTTTAGTCCCAAGCATGGTTGGTCTTTACTCCAATACCCTTGGCCTGCCAGCCTCCCAGAATGGTTCTTGCCTTTTACTGGACTTGCTTGACAAAACTGGAGCTCCTCCTCTGTGGAATGGCCCTTCCTAAGCCTTCCTCTCACTGCTTCAAAGGATTGTTCAAGATTCTGGTCTGGTTCTCTAAAAGACTCCAATGGAAAGGAAGAGAAGAGAGAATGGTATTTGTCACATTGGATTGTTGCTCCAGTTAAGCATACAACCAGTTAAGCATACAACGAAGCAACCGTTCACTGTGGTGGGTCTCTACCCTGGGACTAATTAAGACTTTCATGTGCCTTGGGGGAAAACATAGCCTATATGCTTTGATAGAAAAGTATACTACATAAAATAAAGAAGACATTCATGTTGAATGTTACAACTGCATTGCTATTGTTAAAAGAAAAAAAAATATGACAATTTAATTTAGGGGAGTTTAATTGAGCAAATCCTAACATGATTTGAATGGGGTAGTTTGCTGAACCAACTTTCCAGCAACTTCGGGTAGCCTTGAGGTCAACTTGACATTTGAAGTTCTGGAAAGGGAAAGTGACATACAGAAACGAAAGAGAAGAAATGAGGTAGAAAAACAATTTGTGTTGTTCACATTACCTAGTGTGTCTGCATTAATATAGTCCAAAAGGCTGAGGCCTAGCTGGTGTGATTGACTATAACCTAGCAAACAAACCCAAAAAAAAAGCAAACACAAAAACAAAACAAAGACCCAATAAAACAAAAAGCCAGGTTTATCTGTGATACATGAGGTCTCTGTTTATGGAAACTGAGCTGGAGTTCAGAGGTTTGCTCAATCTTCTTTAACAGTACAAATACGGGGACCAGCAGATGGCATAATGGTTTCATTGCGCTGGACTCCCATGTAGCTGACTGAGCTTTGAGTCCCAGACCCAGGGGCTTAAAACTCATGCCAGGCACGTGTGCGTGCATGCCCAAGATCCCGAGAGGAGAATGGAGGAGAAGGGATTGCGGTGTGGCCATCCCCTTGGGAGGTGATTTCTTGCTGTCTCTATGTCTCCTGTTTTTCTGGCGAGTGCACATGCCCTGTAGCAAAAACCTCTTCAAAAAAAAAAAAGAAAAGAAAAAGAAAGAAGTGCGAATGTGTGCATAAGAGTATGAGACAGAGAGAGAGAGATTGATCCCTCCACTGGGGTCAGCCAGACAGCAATCTTCCTCCAGTCTGTCATGTGCACACGCCCAATGTGTTTGACTTGATGAGGGACTCAAACCATGGCTGGCACTATGGCTTCCAGCTCCAACACCTGGTATATTACTGGCTCCACTAGAGAGCCGGGCCAATGTGCGAGTTTCCCTTCTGATTTTAAATGAAATTAAACTATATTTGTGGGCCCCCAAAAGGGCTTCAGGAAGTGTGTTTGATGGGTAATACCATAAACTTTGCCTCACCTCCTAATCGCTGAGGTTAGAGGTGGTTTTCCCTCCCCTCCCCTTTGTGTTCCTCTGCCCATTTTAAACCCAGGAGGGACTTGATTCATCTTGGCTGAGCTACAGCTGGTATTCCCCATGGCGTCCCTTCAAGCTTCCCCATCAGCAACCTACACAACGCTGTCTTGCTCACGTAGCAAACACCGTATCAGAACACAACGGATTTCATTGCCAAGGAAGGGTTTATTTTAAATTCACATTAACATGTCCTAAAGAATCCTTTTCACTGGATGCCATCTCCTTAAAGACAGCATTTTTCAGAAATGTACCAAATACTTTCCTCCATTTCTTCCCCCCTCTCCACTCTTCATTGTATGTCCTTCACGGAAATCTGAAAAGTTGGCTTCGTTTCGTGACTGCCGAGGTACGTCGACAGGCTCGTTGCAATTTTGCTTCTCGTGCAGGGCTGCCGACCTTGTAAAATGAAGCCTGTGTACACACGACTAAACTGTTTGCTTAGCTTTTAACAGCTGCGGGGCGCTAGGAATTTTGGCTCTTTAATTTTATTTTTTTTAAAGGAGGTGTTTAAAGCTTCAACAACACCCTCCAAGGTTTGGTTAGGCAACCTCCAATATCAACAGGATGCTCTATAAAACAAGTAGCTGGGTCTCTCAGCTCCGCAAACACAAACAACTACGTCTCAGAGAAGGTTTGCTAGGGCTCTCCTAGACAAAAGAATTCAAGTTTCCTGTTCTACAATCAAAACAACACTTTCAGATGGTAAATGGCTTCAAAATCTAAGGTGATTAGGGTTATTAGAAATAAATCTGACCTTCCAATACCCTGAAATACAATGGTGATTTACCTTGAGGCACTCTGAAACTCAATTCATTTGCATCTAGAGGTATACTTTTTCCTTCATAGGCTGGTAACACTTTACAGATAAAATCATGAGTTGTATACACAAATAGGCACTCACAGAATCCTTCCAAGCTCTGCGCGTTACTTACCCCCCACCTCCATGCCCATTTCTGCTCATGTTCATTTGCATTGCATGTGTGCCGTTCTGAGTGAACACTGTCATCTTAAAGCATAAATGCGTAATAGTGCCTTTACACAGTTTTTTTGCATAGTAGCATCAGCAATAATTCTAATACGTCATCCATCTGTTAGTGCAGGCTGCAAGAAAAAAAACTGTTTTCTAAAGCAGCCGATTTCTGGAATGAGAAATCCGTGTCAGAGGGAGAATTCGTTCTCCTTTCCAGCTTTCAACAATTCCAGGGTGAATCGCTCAAGTGGGAATTGTTCTCTCTCTCTTTTTTTTTTTTTTTTTCTGTAATTAAAGGAAAGGAAAAATTAAAAACCAAAAGTTAGTGCAGGCTGCAAGAAAAAAAACTGTTTTCTAAAGCAGCCGATTTCTGGAATGAGAAATCCGTGTCAGAGGGAGAATTCGTTCTCCTTTCCAGCTTTCAACAATTCCAGGGTGAATCGCTGAAGTGGGGATTGCTCTCTCTTTTTTTTTTTTTTTTTTTTGTAATTAAAGGAAAGTAAAAATTAAAATCCAAAATGAAAGAACTTGGAGAGGAACTGAGGACATACTGCTGAGTTCTGGAAACGTCTCGGTGCAGGGCAGGGGACAGAGAAAATGGTAGTAAAGGCCTAGAAAGCCCAAGACAGGGCTCTTGTTTTCTTCAAGTTGTCAGGTAGGGTCCAGGTACATGCAGGCGCACTGTCTTGAACTGAGCAAACGCCAGTCAAATGGATGCTGGAGCTCCGGTCAGTCCACAGGAGACGTGGACAGCTACGTGGGCAGGCACTGGCCCTGCTTTGGAAAGCAATCCAACCCTGTTGCTGGGGAATTCATGGTGTCCTCACAGGGTACTGGAGAAGTAGTCTTTTCTTCCGACTGGCCTGGCCGTTTAAACCTTCACACTTCCTCCAGCTGTGCCACTATCTGCCACTGTCCTAGGGGATCCTGGTCACACTTTTCCCTGAACAACCAGGGCAGGGGGGCAAACGGAACTAAAACAGCATTGGGTGTCTTGTGCGTTATAAGCATGGGCAGCTCTCAGCTGCAGAATAAAACCAGCTGAAACAAAAGGGTTTCCATTCAGCACTTGTCTCTAGAACTCAAGATAATCATGCCTGTGCGTGTAGAACATGGGTTGTTTCTCAGTGGTCTGTTCTGTCCTGTTTCCCTCCCACCAAAAAAAATATAAATAAAGGAAAATCATAGATTATTACACACTAGTAATTCCGAACGAAGATGGGACCGGGGAAGCCAATCAACCCCAAAGTGGGCTTTTACTTCCGAACTTCCATTCATGCAAGATACAGTCAGACTCCACATGGAATGGGGACCAAGTCAGCAGAGATCCACCTTGGGATTCTTGTCCCTGAAGGATTTTGCAAAAGCATTCATTGTGCAAATACCTTCAACTTTTTTTTTTTTAAATTGAAATACTGATCACCTTGTGGGTCTATTTGAAACACCTTAACCATCTTGGGGAAAGACATATGCTTTACATACACGTGTGTAGAGATATGTGTGTGTGTGCATGTATGCATCATGTGTTTTTCTCTACATAGAGAGTGAAGAGCATTTACTAGTCTTCTAACTAAATCCCTTGCCTTTGAGTAACCCAAGTGGAACTCACCATTATGTACGACTGCTAAAGGAAATCGTCCTTCATTGATTATAAATGCGCATGTGCTAAGATCGACTAAACTGTTAAAATCTGATGGTCTCTTTAATGGTGTGCTAAGAGTCACTACGGTCCTGCTATAACTCCAGGTTACAGCAACAATGACACCTGCTGTGGTTGATCCAAAGCCTTTGCCTAGGGGGAACAAAGACAACCTTTGCACCTGGCCATCACCTGCCTGCACTGGGGTAGCGTGTGCTTTGGAGAACCACCTCCAAGAACCCCATCCTATCTGCATGAGCCCAGAGAGTCTACCGTCTTCCTTTCTGTTCACTGCAAACCCCATTCCTCCTCCCCCTCTCCCCAGCTACCCCAGTAACTTCCAAGTTCTTGTTGAAGCTTGCAAGTGATAAAAGAGTCCGTGATGGTCCCGGGCCAGGATGGGCCTCACATCAATGGAGGCCCTTGCGGTTGTGTGTTGCAGCGAAGATGGTGGGCGGAGCCATGAGCCTCGATGTGGTCCCCAGACACAGATCCACTAACGGCTCACTCTTTGATCCTGTTTCTCTCGGTCGCATCGGCAAGACAGGCCAGAGGAAGGACAACAGAGCTGAAGCCAAGGCTTCCAAAAGATATTCCCCAGGGACAACTGGTTCGGGACCTCCAGCAGGGTCTTGGTGTGGCTGTCGGCAGCTTCGCGCATGACTCTGAGAATCTCATGGAACCGGGGCTCGGTGCTCGGGGTCACCGGACTTCTCTCGCTCGGGTCTTTGGAAATATCAAACAGCAAAGGAGGGTCGTGCGGAGTGATAAATTTTCCAAAACAGAAGCACACGTGTGTAGAAAAGCATCCGTTGGCGGCCTTGGGCGTGAAGTTGGGGGTGAAGAGGAAGGCTTTCCAGATGGACGTGCCTGCAACGTAAAAGGGCAGAGAAAGCGTTAGTGGGGACGTGTCTGGTGCTCCCACGGAGGAGAAGTCACCCAGGGGCTGTCTTGTGCCTGCAGGGATGGATTCTGCAGCTATGGACAGGGCAGACCTACTTCTCATGCACAAGGACCAAAAGGTAAGGGCCACAGGGTGAAAAGAAATGCAGAACTGGGTCAGCAGGTGGTGCAGCAGTTGAGGTGCTGGACTCCCACAGGGCCGACCACGGTTCAAGTCCCAGACCTGGCAGATTGAAATTCACGCCAGGCACATGTGCGTGCGTGCCCAAGATCCTGAGAGGAGAATGGAGGAGAAGGGATTGCAGCATGGCCATCTCCCCTGGGGGGTGATTTCTCACTTTCTCTCTGTGTCTCTAATGCATGCATGTACCCTACAGCAAAACAAACAAACAAACAAAAACAAAAACAACTGTCTCCAAAACAAACAAACCAAAACAACAACAACAAAAAAACTCCTGCAGTATGCCTAACAGCCCACAGTGGCACAGGGAATAGAAACTGATGAACTGATTGATGGTGACCAGAATCCCCACTTAAAAAATGGAAACTTTCTGGGACCAGCAGATGGCATAATGGCTATGTCGCTGGACTCCCATGTAGTCAACCACGGTTCGC